CCTCCCTCTCCTCCTCCCTCCAGTCGATTGGAGCTTCATCATCCTTGGCGTCAACCATATTCTCAAGCAGTGGCCTTACAACTGCCTTCACATGTGTGACCCCTTCTAGGTACCGCATCAGGCAGTCTATCCCTTCATCGCTTTCATCCTCTAGTGGTTGGAAAGATGTGTGACATAATGCTATTCCGTTTCACCCCTAGTAGCAGTGAGGAAGGGACGGACGACTCCCTGCAATAAGAAACAAAATCAATCAAATTTAAGCGACATTTTAAAGCAAGTGCATATTCAAAAGCTTAATCCTTTAATCTTACCCAAGCTGCTTGAATTTCAATGTCTGTTTGGTCGTAATCCCAATGGGTACACTTCTCGATGTGCCACCGCAACATCCTAGGAAATTGTTGTCGCACATCCGAAGTCTTCATCCTCCCCCCCGCCTTAGCGAAGACAAGGACGACCTTATACATCCAAGCCTACATTGTAAAAAAAAAATCCATATCATAATTCAAACACATATATTATAAAAAATATAACAAAAAGCTATTAATATTTACCTGCATTGCCCATGGGAAGCCAAACAAATTGTACGTGCTCGGTCTATTCTTCCTGGTCCATTGGGAGTGCTTTAATGCCATGTCTTTTACTTGCAGGGACTCCATGGTTCGCTTAAATGATACCCATCCCCACGGATAAGCATTAAAGAAGTCCAAGTTGCTTGCAAACATCACCCAATCAATATCAATGGCTTTTGTTGAGTCAGCAGCCATTAGGATCGAATGTAAGAACAATACCAAGCACAATTTGAACTTCTCTGAATTGGTTAACCCAACTACTTCTAACCTCTCCTCTAAATCGTGTCCCGTAATAGACGCTTGCCCTTGCAAAACCTTGTTAGCCAACCTTATGGTTGCCCTACTCTCCTTTATTCTTTTTTGCTCAACCGCATCTGGCAATTCCCCACATCTTAAGCCTGTCACCAAGGCATATTCCATCATCCCAAAACATAGTGGCTTTCCATCCACCACGAACCACATTTCTTGCTTTTTTTTGCTTTTTACTGAGTGCAGCAACATATAATGCACTCCCTGCCCCTAGAACGCCTTTTTTCCAATTTGTTCCGATATCTAAAAAATTACCGAAACAAGTCTCTTTGAATCGGTCTTCACTATTCCTCACTCCCTTTAAAATCTCCTTTATTCTCATAAAAACTTCCCAACTCGACCTGATTGTCACCCTTACAAGGAAGTATGGTACCTTATTGCTTACAATCTCCAACCCATAGTCTTTATAGTTTACGCTTCGGAAAATCTGCACAATCGATATAAACAAAATATCAGCAAAAAAAAAAAAAAAAAAAACCCAAAACAACTAATAGGCTGCCAACATACTTTGTAAACAAAGAAAAAGCATCATACAATCAATTTAGAAATTCGCTCTGTAAAGAGAGATTATTACATAATTCAAGAGAAAAGTAAGAAAAATCTGTTTTGACCATGATCGCTTAAGCGATATATGAGCAACCACATATATCGCTTAAGCGACCAAGAGTTTTCCAGAAATGATCGTTTAAGCGATCACCTCAATCGCGAAAGCGACCAAGAGTAAAAGCGAAGAATCGCTCAAGTGATCTTAGATGTGGGCAAATGTTGATTCTGCCTCGTACAAGTTCTCTTAAGCGATCTAAAATCGCTTAAGCGACCAAGAGTAAAAGCAATGAATCGCTTAAGCGATACAAAAGATCGCTTAAGCAATCTTAGATCTGGGCAGATGTTGATTCTGCCTCGAACATGATCGCTTGAGCGATCCTAAATAGCTTAAGCGACAGTACAGAGCAAAGGGATCTTATTTCATGGAATATTATGATTGCTGGCTATACTCAAATGAGCCACTACAAAGAAGCATTAATGTTATTTCGGCAAATGCTACGATCAGATGTACAGCCTAATGATGTCACCTTTTTATGCATTCTTCTAGCTTGTGGTTATTTAGGTGCGATTGATCTTGGCAAATGGATTCATGCTTATATAGACAAGAACTTCCAAAAACTAAACAATATATCCCTCTAGACAAGTCATGTTGACATGTATGCTAAATGCGGAAATATAGAGGTAGCAGCACAAGTTTTTGACACCATGAGTTCCAAAAGCTTGCCTTCACTTTCTAAAACTTAAAAATCAGGCAACATAATCCCCCCCAGAAAATGCCAATGACCAAAGCAACAACACTAGGCTAAAATCAAGCTAAACCATAGATAAAGTTAATCATCTTTATTTTTCCCATGTGATAAAGCTAATCATATATTTTCGCTATCAATAAGAGAACTCTAAGAAACTTTGAATGCAGGGGTATAAAATCAAGTTTGATATTGTTTGGTTTGGTTGACCCAGGATTTTATAACCGATGGAAGATTGAGGTTGGCCTTGACTTATATCTACTACCTACTTCGCAAGTCTAAATTCCATCCTCTGAGACACGACACTCCAAAATGACCCACAACACTTCCAATAAATCTGAAACCCCTCGGTCCGAAGAGGGTGTGCCAAACAAAATTCCATGTTCTTAAACCTCTCGCGCAACAAAATTCCCCCAAATTCGCACAAATCATCCATTTTCTCATCCAATTAAAAAAACAAGTAAAAATACGTACCATTTCTTCGTCGACCTCCTCTTCCTCGCCTGAATTCTTGCCGGTGTCCTCCTCTTCAAAACCGTTTTGCGATTCTTCTCTCTGTTGTTGTGCCGCTGTCGTCTCCTCTACCTGTGGACCACCTTCATTGATCGGATGATCCACCGGAGTAGCCATTGAACTGCTTGCACCGCTGGACTTTAGGATTCGAAGTGGTGTTGGGTTTTCCTCCTCATTGTGAATGTCAGCCATGGTTTTAAGAAAGGAAGCTTTAGGATTGAAAATAGATCGAAAATTTGCAGGAATGTGGGACTATAGTCGTCGGAAATCTCAGAGAATAGGTTTAGGGTTTGTCAGTCAATTTTTGCCTAATACATTTCGATTAAGCAATTTGAATGGGTGGGGCTCATTTTCAAATTTCAAATTTTAAATAACTTTCATTAATTATACTTTGCCCACATATGTTTGAATCTTTTCATTTTAACCCATTTTACATGTTTAATGAATCCTAACTATGCCACGTCAGCTTTTCTAAATTAAAAAATAAATCAAAAAAATGAAAAAGATTTTCAAGGCCATTTTGTTAAATGGAAACTTGGGATGTCCGAGGAGTTAAATTTTCTCAGAAATTTGGGCAAAACTTGTGCTGGGTTTGTTTTTTTGAGAAATGTTAGCCTTAAAAAGAGAAATAAAAAAAGGGGGCATACAAATCAACGTGGCAACTGATGTGGCAATACCACATCACCTGCCACGTCATTCACTTGCCACACAATCAATTTTTTTTCTTTCTAAATTCTCTTCTTCAGTTCTTCTTTCTCTCTCCCCTTCTTCTTCATCTCTCTCTCTCTTTTTCCCTTCTTTCTTTGATTTTTTCTTCTCCTTCCTCTCTTCCCTCTCTCTTTTATTCTCTCTTTACCAATTAAAGAAAACACTGCAGCCATGATCGTATTTGTCTATTTGAGCAAGGACGAGCATGGGTCGCTGCCATGGAAGGTCACAGAAGAATGGCAGCCTGTCACGGCTTGATCCAAGCTCAAGCCTTCAAGTTGTGACTATACTTCTCTTCTAAGTCGCCACACTCAGGTCTTGTGATTTTTATTTGAAAAAAATTATGGCTTCGTTTGTTACGCTCTTGTGAATACTATTATTAGTATTCCCAATAAAGTTAAACAGTAAAATTAACTTATTTTCAAAATATTATTCTATATTATTCAATTTCTTTTAAACCCCCCCTAAATTTGTTAATTTACTAAATACCGCCAAATATTTTTTTTAGAAATTGTAAAAACAGCCCAGCAACCCACATTTACAGATTCCGGCTATCACTGTCAGAAGCTGGCCAGAATCTGGTATAATGGCGCACTATTGGCTGAATCTGGCCAATAATGCGCCGATCTAGCCTTTTCTTGCCAGATCCACGGTGGATCAGGCTAGAAAAGGCCAAATCTATGGCCAAAGATCTGGTTGTCAACGACAGCCAAGATATGGTTGTCATTGACCATCAACGACAGCTGTATCTTTGGTCGTCAACGGCCAGATCTAGCCATAGATCTGGCCTTTTTCGGCCAGATCCACTATGGATCTGGCCGAAAAAAGCCAGATCTATGGCTAGATCTAGCCAACGACAGCCACAAAAGGTCATCTTTGGCCATCGACGACAGCTAGATTTGGCCTTTTCCAGCCAGATCTATTATGGATCTGACCGAAAAAGGCCAGATCGATGAATTACTAGCCAGTTCTAATCATGGTGTAGGCCGTTGTAACAGATTTCAGCTATCACTGATGGTGGTTGTCGAAATCTTGCATGTATGGGTTTAGGAGGTGTTTTTGTTAATTTTTAAACTTTTTTTCTGGGGGTATTTAATGAAATTAATAAACTTAAAAGGTTTAAAAATAATTAAAAATATACTAATATTTCTCAAATAATATATCAAACAATATTTGGGGAATAGAATTGAGAATATGGGTAGAAATAATGTGACAAACACACCCAAAGTTTATCAGTATTTTAAAACAATACAGACATTACCATTTTAAGTATATTAATAAAAAATAATTAAATTTTTTGACTTTTTAAATCTAACACAAGTATAACATTAACAAGGAGATGTGTTGGCATATTTGTCTTGTCTCCTTTAGTCATTGGAAAATAATTCAGTCATCGATAATAGTACATTAAATTTAAACATCAAATGAAGTAATAAAGTATTGATTATTGATTAATTTTAATTTAATATTAATGAACGATTAAGATTTTGTTATGTTGTGTAATTTGTTGTACAAATTCAATGTAATACCGTGGATGACAGCAACATTACTCTTAGTCATTGCGTTACTATTTAATCACAAGCCAAAACCCTCTCACCCCCGACCAACAATGCATGCAAAAACTGACTCAGAGGGGACCAGCATTGACGCCTCATGGCTGCCGAGGTCTCCAAGGAGGCCCATATACTACGTCCAGAGCCCTTCCAACCACGACGTCGAGAAGATGTCATACGGCTCCAGCCCCGCCGGCTCCCCTGCCCATCATTACTACCACTGCTCGCCCATCCACCACTCTCGTGAGTCCTCCACCTCGCGGTTCTCCGCCTCCTTGAAGAACCCCAGAAACCTCTCCCCTTGGAAACACGTGCAGCTTCATCAAGACGACGACGACGACGAAACGGACGGTCGCTATGGAGGGTCTACTGATAAAGTCAGATTGTACTTGTGTATTGGTTTGTTCTTCGTTGNGATTAGTGGTATCTAAAAACACTTTCAAGCCCACTTAAATCAACATTATCATGTCTTGTAAATTAGAGCAAGGACCACATTACTACACATGAAGTGATATATTTATTTAATAATCTAAATCAATTATGTGGAGGAGATGCTCATATCATAGGCTATTATTTAGTAGACTTTTGTCGTTTGTAGCAACTGTCCAGATTATGCATTGTAGTGATTTATATCGTAAATTACAGTTGATAAAGCAGCTTAATTATAAATTAGTGTGTAAATTAGTCACGTTATAACTTATAAGAACATATTGATAAAATATATTGAATTCACATGGACGAGAATCATTTACAATCCAACCATATAATTTGAAAGGCTTTTAATATAAGGGAAGAGTATGCAATAATTGTCACTACTTCGCTAGCTACAAAGTAGTAAGACAAGATTCTGGGTAAAGAGTGATTACAGCGTTTCACCAACCGAATTAGTCGTGGGCTCAACTATAATAAAATCACCAACCTTTTTTTTTTTTTTTTTTTTCCTTTTTCTAATTAAATGCGGGACATTAGCTCACGTTGCTATTCGTCATATAAATTGCAAAGAATACAAATGTTAATGATAACCATAGCAACATGTACATATATATTAGAGTAATATTACACTTACAACCCAATCTCACGACTCCTAAGTGATAGCTTCCAAATTTTTACTAATGAATTCCCCAAAATTCAAAATTCTTTCAAAAGCTTCCATGTAAGGGTTGTGTAAGAGTTAGTGAGAGTTTAATAATAGCTGATTTACTTGCAAAAATTTCAAGTACAAGAAACCCAGAAGCTGTTCGAAGCACTTGTTAGAATAAAATTATTCATATGTTGCTTCAAACTGCATCAAGTTTGAAAGATCCAGATAAAAAGCAGTCGTGTGAAATACAAGCTTGTTGCTACATGGTTTAAATCCAAAAGATTTTCTCATTAACAGAAATTGGATGTGCGCATTCATAGAATTATCTTAAGTCAGAAAAATATAGACATCAAACTTACATATAGTCTAGAATCAAGGTTACGTACAGCACCTATTTGACACCTAGAATACAAATTGGAAACATGAAACACTTCGCTGAGACTTATGCAATCCATGAAAAACTCTAAAAACTCTAAAAATAAATTATCAATATCAATTTTTAAGTTAGACAGCCCTGGAATAATAATACAGATACCCCTCAACCCAGAATATTATGGGGCCAAAAGAAAGGGCCACAAAAAGGAAAAATCTGAAATTATACTTATCTATTCAGCCTTTGGTTCGCATAATTGTGATGCTGCCTTTTCCTCCTTCAGTGCGAATTTTAGTTTTACCAACCACAGGCTTCCCAGAAAATGCCGAAGTGGGGTAGGCAGCAGGATCTTCAATATTTTGCTTTGATTTTGATGGAGTGTGGATCCGCTGGTTTATGTCCTTCAGAGTAACATCTCCTTGGACACCACATGGTTTTATGAAGGCAAACGGATAGGCAACCGAAGAAGCTAATTTAGTTGGAGTCCTTATGATAGACTTTCTACCTAAAGCAAGCAGAACGAAAACAATTAAGAGTGAAGCATCAGCATGACAAAGATAGGATGCTCAATTGGAACGAACAACAAAGAGAAATTATCAAGACCAGAGAAATACCTCTAAAAACAATATTTTGTGGCGTTCTAGGTGCATGCTGTTGAACCATATTAGCATCACATGCAGGTGGTGGATTGTTGAAATCTACAATGGTGAAACACTTATGTAAACTTAAAAACAGGGGGAAAAGGAAGTAACACAAAAAATTTGTAGATGGGTAGCAGGAGAATGGGGCGAAGAAACAGCAATAAACAACAAATGAAAAAATTATCTCATGCACCTGAAATATCAATCTGTCCATCAGATGCCCCAGAGAAGTTCCTGAGACTCGCATGACAAAGTAATCAGATTATAGTGGAATGGGTATAAAAATAAAAAGTAATAGTCCAAAGAAGCATACATATTATCAGGGCTAAAATTCATCTCAGAATCATTTAGGCATTGGGCAAGCCATCCTTCAAATGACTGATCAATGCCCTCAAAACTGGAGCCAGGCACATCCGCTGACACATGTTAATTATTGATTAGAAAAAAGAAGTAAAAATTTCTGTTCATATTTGTATGAAAACAGATCTTGCAGTATACAAACCTGAAAACCCAGAAATCCAAGGTGACGCTTCAGGTAAAACCTCATCTACTGGGTTCTCCCTCTCCTAAACATATAATAAAGAACATAAATATGGGCTACATTGATGGCACAAGTCATTTCCTATTTGCATATAAGAGAAGACAGCTATGTATTAATAATACAGAACAGGATATTAATACACCAATTCTTGAAGAAAGGACACTATTTGGCAGAGGTTCAGAAAAAAAATAATTCTATATTCTGCAATGTCAAATTTTTCTCAAATTGTTAAATATTTCAATATACAATTTATCATTATTTTATTTCACGACCATTCCTAAGCACAGATCACCTAAAAATCTACCATAAATGCTGTCCAGTGCCTTTCTTATGATGGCATTTTTTGTAAGTACTGAATGAAAGTATATATTATGCTTGGCATTCTGCACATATATAACAAGAATCATTTAGCATGCTAATGAATTGGAAAAAAAACAGTTTTTAAACTTAGTAATGTTTCGAAGTTCTCAATCATTAAATATGTATCCAGCGGGTTCTGGTATTTGATACGTGTACAATAAGGATACAGCAGGTACTTATAAATATACATGCTTCATAGTCTGACAGTAAGTTAAGTTCAACACAGTTCCAAGATATCTACTGTTCACCAGAAATACAATTACTTTATATCTCCTTCGATACTAATTCCACTTGGCTGTCAATATGAATAAAATGATATTTGAAAGGGACCAATGCATAGAAAGTAATGAGTCCAGCACATTAAAAAAAAAGGAACTAAGCAAGCTATGAAACTAGTTAACAGCCTATTATTGTTCTAACATGAAATTGCTTCATGTTAAAACAGTAAACCATATTCAAACATTAACATAACAAATCTATGTCAAATGAGTTATATATGGATCCACATAACATGCAGCAAATGACAAATGTTCTACAGGATAGCTTAACAAAGTTCTTAGACTTCACAAATTTCTGGTCCCTTCTTATCAAGTTCTGTTTTCTAAATTTTAATCCATGTCAATTGAGTGAAACGAAGACAAGGCAAATGAAACTGATGTCAGTATAAAAATATCATTGAAGAAAAGAGTTGCCAAGCACTACTGACATTTGGTGCTAGAAATGCAGATGGCATCTCATTGCTGAATAAGGATGAATCTGCTACTTCAGTATCAAACTGTAGCATTCTTCGCCTCTTTACTTGTGAAGATGTCTCCCTTCGTTCTATTTGTTCCTTGTCTATGTTATCTGAAATCCACTTTCAGATTAAGAAAACACTGTCCAACAACTTGGTCTTTCAACAAAGTGAAAAATATTGAAGTCAAGAAACAAACCCCTACCACTATGAGTAGCATGATAAGCCAATTCCTCACATGCCTTAACAGGGGTAGTTACATCATCAAGCATGTAGGAAAGATCTTCCTCATTCAAAGTCACTTCATTCCATTGGCAATCCGACATGTCTGCTGAAAATAATAACACCCAACTGAGAAACATTACTACTGTCTTATCCTTCCTTATATCTTTGCCTGAAGAGACCAATATTATTGAAATATTTGGCTTAGAAGTCAACTGAGAATAGGGGGCCGTGTACTCACCAAAATTCGAACCTTTTTGGAGACAATATTCCTCTCTTTGCCAATTTCGAGGCTCAAGACTGTACAGATATGAAAAACGCAAAGATTGAATCTCAAGGAATAGCCAATAAGGAAAACATTCACAAGGAAACACAGAATCTTATGACAAAAACTGGAACCTGTGCTACATACTATTAGCATTTATTAAAATCTCAGTTGGCTCAATGGAAACATTCAAAGTCCAGTTAATAAATAACAAAATGACAAACCATTATACTCAAAGTTTGCATCAACATCAAGTAATTTCAATAATCACAAAAAAAAAAAAAAAATGGCGCAATCTATCTGGATGCTGCGCTACCTCAAATTTTTTGTTGAAACTTCTTTAATGACTAAATTACGTTTTAAATTAATCACATGTTACTCGACCACAGTACATAAAATATCATTGCAGAATCCACGGCAGGTAATGTATCCGCATCAGTGATCAGCGGCCTGTATTTAACAACGAATTTTTTTCTTCGCATGAGCCATACATTAACACTCTCGATTATAATTTAAATTCTAGATTTTATCAAATAATGACAGAAGAATCAAAAGCATGAACTTGAAACACCAAATCAAACAACTCAAAACCAAACTACGCAAATCTGAAAAACACAAACAACAGCAAACAAAAAAGAAACGAAATTAACAAAGATCAAACAAATCTGCAAATTCTTATAAACTTAACATACATCTCGTTTGATCCACCGGCAGGACCTCTAGTTGTTGACATTCTCATAGATTTCTAGGGTTTTGGTCACTCTCATTCCTTCTCTGTCACTACTAATAAGCACTCACTGACTGAGCCACGCCCAACGGCACTATGACGACCAAAGAAAAAAATAAAAATGTTATTATTTATTAGAATTATCTAATGCTGCGCGCCTGCGCCTAGTGTTGTGTATTACCTTTATGAACTCCCACGTCACTCGCACCATCAGTAAGTTAGCTGAACGTAAGGGTAGTTTTGGTAATTCAGGTGAAATAGCTAGATTCAAGTCACTTGTTTACCAACGTGTCTGTTGGATGCCGCGTGTTTTGGGTCTACTCTTACGCGCGGAAATGAAGGGTCAGTTTATGGGAGTTGGCGCGTGGAGTAAAGTAAATTTGGTAACTCGGGATATAAAAGGGTAAAAGTGCGTTAAGTGGTGCCATTATTGACGGTCGATATCGATTTACGGGCAGAAATCAAGCGGTTACAGATCTAGTATCCATATTTCCTTATAGGCTCAGATTCTTGTTCAATACACCTAGATTACAAATTCAATCTAAATTTTTTGGTAAAACCCGTCATTGTTTTAAAACCCGGATACGAGGGCAATGTGTTTTACTGTCTGGGTCACGAGTCAACTGATTGGATGATGATGTCAGTAACAATTTTATTTTTAAAAAATTACTATTAATCCCTTAAATTTTAATATATTACAAAAATTCTCCTAAAAAATGTTTAAATTAATCCTTAAAATTCTTATTTATTTCAAAAATGCCCCTAAAAAATTATCAATTATTCCTTAAACTTTTGACATATATCTAAAACACCCTTATAAAATTACAAATTAATCCTTATAATTTTAAAATATTACAAAAACTCCCCTAAGACCTGAACCGGACCAAAAAAGCTATTGAGTCCCGGTCCGACTCGCCAGTCCGATTTTTAAAACAGAGAGACCCGTTGGATTTTACATGTGTTTACAGTTGTAATTAAGTAAAAGATTTTTTTCCCACCCAAGGTTTGAATGATGTGCATGCACCACCCCTGGTTTCAGTAACTGCAAATTTGAACCCTTAAATTAACAACGTCACTAACGTTTGCCCTCTAACACAGGTGCAGAGGGTCTCATTACCAAATTACCCTTGAGCTTTTGACTTTTTATTATTTGATAATAAAATATTGAATGAACATGTGAAAAACCAAGAATGCCCCCATAATTATTTTTATGTACCCATAATGACCTTGTATGAAAAATAACTTAATTAAGTGAAAATACCATAATGCCCCTTTCTTTTTGAAAGTTTGTTTTTTAAATGAATGTCTAAGGATATTGTATAATGGTAATTGTTCAAAAATTTCAACTTCTTCTTCTCCATTACTACTCCTTCATTACTTCTTCTTCTCCATTACTTCCAGAAAGACATCTAGGACACACCAAATACAACCTCCATAAACACATCCTGTGCACACCTAATACAACCTCCACAAACACATCTTGGACACACCTAACCTCTGTATACACATCCTGGACACACCTAAACACATATTGTCTAACTTTTTCAAAAATCACGAGGATAAAAAAATTGTAGCACCTGGAACTCATATAGTATAATCAAGATCAATAAACATATCACATTAAAAAGTAATACTCCATACAAATATATTAAGCCATAAACAGGCCAGTAATAATGTAGATTACATCAAAAAACCCTCTGCAACAGTGACAACCTTTACAAAAACAACCTGAAAGACCATTTCTATCTACATGCACATGTCTATCTACTGCTGCACATTTCTACAAGTTGTTGCACATTTCTAGAAGTTGACGCACCACATTCACCAAACTGTTGCACCAAATTCACCCAAAAACCGCTGTACCACATTCACCATGGAAACCCTCCACATTTCAAGTTCCATGTGAGTTAATTTTGTGGACCAGTAGCTCCACTACCTATAACAATCATAAACCATGTATTAGAGCCCTAAAATTGTAAAACAAACCATTTAACAAGAATTTGAAGCACAAATGTAATACTAACCTGCTACCTTTGACTGTTGCCAAACACTTGAACGTTCACCCGCTTGACTTGCTTAGGGCGATAAAATTTGTCCTCTTTAAAAAAGGCAAACACACATACATAACAGCATATGAGAGTCCAAATCAGAAAATTGGATGTAATAATCAGAATTAAAAAAAAAAAAAAAAAAAAAGCTTTAAATTACCTTTTGCTTCTTACCGTTGAGAGGATTTTACAGGCAACTCCTCCTATTATGTCCCAGAGTTTTAAAAAACCCACACCTCAATGTTGTAGCTCTGGTCAACCTTGGTTCTTCATCAACATCTATCTTTCTAGCCTTTTTAGATCTTCCAATCTTGTTATGCTTGATAGGTGGGTACAACTTGCGACTCCCAATATCAGGCTAACTAAGTGGGTCAAGTATAGGGAAAAAAAAAAAAGAAAAAAAAATAAAAAAAGAAATAAAAGAAAAAAAAAAAAAAAAAAAAATTTTTCATATTTGTGAATCTTTTAAAAAGTAGACAACTCACTCGATGCACACAAGGGACTCTAGAGAGCTGCCACATTCCACAATCACAAGTTTGAGATTGTATATTTAAGATGTGACGTCTATTGGGAAGAATATTGTTATCCTTGACTTCAAACTCCTCACTTCTTGGCCAGATAACATCAGCACTCATAACATCCTCAAATAAACTATTGATTTTCTTATGTATCATAGAAGGTACAATAGTGACCTAATCAACCCCACATTTTGCCCTAGCTTGCATCCTTTTTATAACCCTCTTCCTATAAAATTCTAACAAGCTTAATATAGGTAATTCTTTATTGTCTCCCAACTAGCTATTAAAAACTTCACACATATTATTTGTAACATGATCAGACTTAGATTCAAGGTCAAATGCATGCATTGACCAGCTAGTAACCTCATTATCAATCATCCACCAATGAGCATTCTCATCTACGGCTCTAACATCATTTATGGCCTGCTGAAAATCAATGGGTATTGGCAGCCCTATAACAACCCAAAACAATTTCCTCAACTGTAGCCTAGGGAAATTTTTCCTAAAGTTAGCATATACATGCCTAGCACAATGTCTAACCCTTTTAATCCATGTCAATTGAGTGAAACGAAGACAAGGCAAATGAACTGATGTCAGTATAAAAATATCATTGAAAAAAGAGTTGCCAAGCACTACTGACATTTGGTGCTAGAAAGCAGATGGCATCTCATTGCTGAATAAGGATGAATCTGCTACTTCAGTCAAACTGTAGCATTCTTCGCCTCTTTACTTGTGAATGTTCTCCCTTCGTTCTATTTGTTCCTTGTCTATGTTATCTGAAATCCACTTTCAGATTAAGAAAACACTGTCCAACAACTTGGTCTTTCAACAAAGTGAAAAATATTGAAGTCAAGAAACAAACCCCTACCACTTGTAGTAGCATGATAAGCCCATTCCTCACATGCCTTAACAGGGGTAGTTACATCATCAAGCATGTAGAAAGATCTTCCTCATTCAAAGTCACTTCTTCCATTGGCAATCCGCATGTCTGCTGAAAATAATAACACGCAACTGAGAAACATTACTACTCTCTATCCTTCCTTATATCTTTGCCTGAAGAGACCATATTATTGAAATATTTGACGAGAAGTCAACTGAGAATAGGGGGCCGTGTACTCACCAAAATTCGAACCTTTTTGGAGACAATATTCCTCTCTTTGCCATTTCGAGCTCAAGACTGTACAGATGAAAAACGCAAAGATTGAATCTCAAGGAATAGCCAATAAGGAAAACATTCACAAGGAAACACGAATCTTATGACAAAAACTGGAACTGTGCTACATACTATTACATTTATTAAAATCTCAGTTGGCTCAATGAAACATTCAAGTCCGTTAATAAATAACAAAATGACAAACCATTAACTCAAAGTTTGCATCAACATCAAGTAATTTCAATAATCCACAAAAAAAAAAAAATGGCGCAATCTATCTGGATGCTGCGCTACCCATCAATTTTTTGTTGAACTTCTTTAATGACTAAATTACGTTTTAAATTAATCACATGTACTCGACCACAGTTCATAAAATATCATTGCAGAATCCACGGCAGGTAATGATCCGCATCATGATCAGCGGCCTGTATTTAACAACGAATTTTTTCTTCGTATGAGCCATACATTACACCTCGATTATAATTTAAATTCTAGATTTTATCAAATAATGACAGAAGAATCAAAAGCATGAACTTGAAACACCAATCAAACACTCAAAACCAAACTACGCAAATCTGAAAAACACAAACAACAGCAAACAAAAAAGAAATGAAATTAACAAAGATCAAAACAATCTGCAAATTCTTATAAACTAACATACATCTCGTTTGATCCACCAGCAGGACCTCTAGTTGTTGACATTCTCATAGATTTCTAGTTTTGGTCACTCATTCCTTCTCTGTCACTACTAATAAGCACTCACTGACTGAGCCACGCCCAACGGCACTATGACGACCAAAGAAAAAAATAAAAATGTTATTATTTTTAGAATTATCTAATGCTGCGCGCCTGCGCCTAGTGTTTTGTATTCTTATGAACTCCCACGTCACTCGCACCATCAGTAAGTTAGCTGAACGTAAGGTAGTTTTTGGTATCAGGTGAAATAGCTAGATTCAAGTCACTTGTTTACCACGGTCTGTTGATACCGCGTGTTTTGGGTTACTCTTACGCGCGGAAATGAGGGTCAGTTTATGGGAGTTGGCGCGTGGAGTAAAGTAATTTGTAACTCGGGATATAAAGGGTAAAAGTGCGTTAAGTGTGCCATTATTGACGGTCGATATCGATTTACGGGCAGAAATCAAGCGGTTACAGATCTAGTATCCATATTTCCTTATAGGCTCAGATTCTGTTCAATACACCTAGATTACAAATTCAATCTAAATTTTTTGGTAAAACCCGTCATTGTTTTAAAACCCGGATACGGGGCAATGTGTTTTACTGTCTGGTCATACTAATGAATTCCCCAAAATTCAAAATTCTTTCAAAAGCTTCCATGTAAGGGTTGTGTAAGAGTTAGTGAGAGTTTAATAATAGCTGATTTACTTGCAAAAATTTCAAGTACAAGAAACCCAGAAGCTGTTCGAAGCACTTGTTAGAATAAAAGTATTCATATGTTGCTTCAAACTGCATCAAGTTTGAAAGATCCAGATAAAAAGCAGTCGTGTGAAATACAAGCTTGTTGATACATGGTTTAAATCCAAAAGATTTTCTCATTAACAGAAATTGGATGTGCGCATTCATAGAATTATCTTAAGTCAGAAAAATATAGACATCAAACTTACATATAGTCTAGAATCAAGGTTACGTACAGCACCTATTTGACACCTAGAATACAAATTGGAAACATGAAACACTTCGCTGAGACTTATGCAATCCATGAAAAACTCTAAAAACTCTAAAAATAAATTATCAATATCAATTTTTAAGTTAGACAGCCCTGGAATAATAATACAGATACCCCTCAACCCAGAATATTATGGGGCCAAAAGAAAGGGCCACAAAAAGGAAAAATCTGAAATTATACTTATCTATTCAGCCTTTGGTTCGCATAATTGTGATGCTGCCTTTTCCTCCTTCAGTGCGAATTTTAGTTTTACCAACCACAGGCTTCCCAGAAAATGCCGAAGTGGGGTAGGCAGCAGGATCTTCAATATTTTGCTTTGATTTTGATGGAGTGTGGATCCGCTGGTTTATGTCCTTCAGAGTAACATCTCCTTGGACACCACATGGTTTTATGAAGGCAAACGGATAGGCAACCGAAGAAGCTAATTTAGTTGGAGTCCTTATGATAGACTTTCTACCTAAAGCAAGCAGAACGAAAACAATTAAGAGTGAAGCATCAGCATGACAAAGATAGGATGCTCAATTGGAACGAACAACAAAGAGAAATTATCAAGACCAGAGAAATACCTCTAAAAACAATATTTTGTGGCGTTCTAGGTGCATGCTGTTGAACCATATTAGCATCACATGCAGGTGGTGGATTGTTGAAATCTACAATGGTGAAACACTTATGTAAACTTAAAAACAGGGGGAAAAGGAAGTAACACAAAAAATTTGTAGATGGGTAGCAGGAGAATGGGGCGAAGAAACAGCAATAAACAACAAATGAAAAAATTATCTCATGCACCTGAAATATCAATCTGTCCATCAGATGCCCCAGAGAAGTTCCTGAGACTCGCATGACAAAGTAATCAGATTATAGTGGAATGGGTATAAAAATAAAAAGTAATAGTCCAAAGAAGCATACATATTATCAGGGCTAAAATTCATCTCAGAATCATTTAGGCATTGGGCAAGCCATCCTTCAAATGACTGATCAATGCCCTCAAAACTGGAGCCAGGCACATCCGCTGACACATGTTAATTATTGATTAGAAAAAAGAAGTAAAAATTTCTGTTCATATTTGTATGAAAACAGATCTTGCAGTATACAAACCTGAAAACCCAGAAATCCAAGGTGACGCTTCAGGTAAAACCTCATCTACTGGGTTCTCCCTCTCCTAAACATATAATAAAGAACATAAATATGGGCTACATTGATGGCACAAGTCATTTCCTATTTGCATATAAGAGAAGACAGCTATGTATTAATAATACAGAACAGGATATTAATACACCAATTCTTGAAGAAAGGACACTATTTGGCAGAGGTTCAGAAAAAAAATAATTCTATATTCTGCAATGTCAAATTTTTCTCAAATTGTTAAATATTTCAATATACAATTTATCATTATTTTATTTCACGACCATTCCTAAGCACAGATCACCTAAAAATCTACCATAAATGCTGTCCAGTGCCTTTCTTATGATGGCATTTTTTGTAAGTACTGAATGAAAGTATATATTATGCTTGGCATTCTGCACATATATAACAAGAATCATTTAGCATGCTAATGAATTGGAAAAAAAACAGTTTTTAAACTTAGTAATGTTTCGAAGTTCTCAATCATTAAATATGTATCCAGCGGGTTCTGGTATTTGATACGTGTACAATAAGGATACAGCAGGTACTTATAAATATACATGCTTCATAGTCTGACAGTAAGTTAAGTTCAACACAGTTCCAAGATATCTACTGTTCACCAGAAATACAATTACTTTATATCTCCTTCGATACTAATTCCACTTGGCTGTCAATATGAATAAAATGATATTTGAAAGGGACCAATGCATAGAAAGTAATGAGTCCAGCACATTAAAAAAAAAGGAACTAAGCAAGCTATGAAACTAGTTAACAGCCTATTATTGTTCTAACATGAAATTGCTTCATGTTAAAACAGTAAACCATATTCAAACATTAACATAACAAATCTATGTCAAATGAGTTATATATGGATCCACATAACATGCAGCAAATGACAAATGTTCTACAGGATAGCTTAACAAAGTTCTTAGACTTCACAAATTTCTGGTCCCTTCTTATCAAGTTCTGTTTTCTAAATTTTAATCCATGTCAATTGAGTGAAACGAAGACAAGGCAAATGAAACTGATGTCAGTATAAAAATATCATTGAAGAAAAGAGTTGCCAAGCACTACTGACATTTGGTGCTAGAAATGCAGATGGCATCTCATTGCTGAATAAGGATGAATCTGCTACTTCAGTATCAAACTGTAGCATTCTTCGCCTCTTTACTTGTGAAGATGTCTCCCTTCGTTCTATTTGTTCCTTGTCTATGTTATCTGAAATCCACTTTCAGATTAAGAAAACACTGTCCAACAACTTGGTCTTTCAACAAAGTGAAAAATATTGAAGTCAAGAAACAAACCCCTACCACTATGAGTAGCATGATAAGCCAATTCCTCACATGCCTTAACAGGGGTAGTTACATCATCAAGCATGTAGGAAAGATCTTCCTCATTCAAAGTCACTTCATTCCATTGGCAATCCGACATGTCTGCTGAAAATAATAACACCCAACTGAGAAACATTACTACTGTCTTATCCTTCCTTATATCTTTGCCTGAAGAGACCAATATTATTGAAATATTTGGCTTAGAAGTCAACTGAGAATAGGGGGCCGTGTACTCACCAAAATTCGAACCTTTTTGGAGACAATATTCCTCTCTTTGCCAATTTCGAGGCTCAAGACTGTACAGATATGAAAAACGCAAAGATTGAATCTCAAGGAATAGCCAATAAGGAAAACATTCACAAGGAAACACAGAATCTTATGACAAAAACTGGAACCTGTGCTACATACTATTAGCATTTATTAAAATCTCAGTTGGCTCAATGGAAACATTCAAAGTCCAGTTAATAAATAACAAAATGACAAACCATTATACTCAAAGTTTGCATCAACATCAAGTAATTTCAATAATCACAAAAAAAAAAAAAAAATGGCGCAATCTATCTGGATGCTGCGCTACCTCAAATTTTTTGTTGAAACTTCTTTAATGACTAAATTACGTTTTAAATTAATCACATGTTACTCGACCACAGTACATAAAATATCATTGCAGAATCCACGGCAGGTAATGTATCCGCATCAGTGATCAGCGGCCTGTATTTAACAACGAATTTTTTTCTTCGCATGAGCCATACATTAACACTCTCGATTATAATTTAAATTCTAGATTTTATCAAATAATGACAGAAGAATCAAAAGCATGAACTTGAAACACCAAATCAAACAACTCAAAACCAAACTACGCAAATCTGAAAAACACAAACAACAGCAAACAAAAAAGAAACGAAATTAACAAAGATCAAACAAATCTGCAAATTCTTATAAACTTAACATACATCTCGTTTGATCCACCGGCAGGACCTCTAGTTGTTGACATTCTCATAGATTTCTAGGGTTTTGGTCACTCTCATTCCTTCTCTGTCACTACTAATAAGCACTCACTGACTGAGCCACGCCCAACGGCACTATGACGACCAAAGAAAAAAATAAAAATGTTATTATTTATTAGAATTATCTAATGCTGCGCGCCTGCGCCTAGTGTTGTGTATTACCTTTATGAACTCCCACGTCACTCGCACCATCAGTAAGTTAGCTGAACGTAAGGGTAGTTTTGGTAATTCAGGTGAAATAGCTAGATTCAAGTCACTTGTTTACCAACGTGTCTGTTGGATGCCGCGTGTTTTGGGTCTACTCTTACGCGCGGAAATGAAGGGTCAGTTTATGGGAGTTGGCGCGTGGAGTAAAGTAAATTTGGTAACTCGGGATATAAAAGGGTAAAAGTGCGTTAAGTGGTGCCATTATTGACGGTTGATATAGATTTACGGGCAGAAATCAAGCGGTTACAGATCTAGTATCCATATTTCCTTATAGGCTCAAATTCTTGATCAATACACCTAGATTGCAAATTCAATCTAAATTTTTTGTTAAAACTCGTCATTATTTTAAAACCCGGATAGGAGGGCAACGTGTTTTGCTATCTGGGTCACGAGTCAATTGATTGAACCGATGATATCAGTAACAATTTTATTTTAAGAAAATTCTATTAATCCCTTAAATTTTAATATATTACAAAAATTCTCCTAAAAAATGTTCAATTAGTCCTTAAAATTCTTATTTATTTCAAAAATGCCCCCAAAAAATTATCAATTATTCCCTAAACATTTGACATATCTCTAAAATATCCCTATAAAATTACAAATTAACCCTTATAATTTTGAAATATTACAAAAACTCCCCTAAGACCTGAACCGGACCAGAAAAGCTGTCGGGTCCCAGTCCGACTGGCCGGTCCGATTTTTAAAACATAGAGACCCGTTGGATTTTACATGTGTTTACGGTTGAAATTAAGTAAAAGATTTTTTTCCCACCCAAGGTTTGAATGATGTGCATGTCACCACCCCTGGTTTCATTAACTGCAAATTTGAACCCTTAAATTAACAACGTCACTAACGTTTGCCCTCTAACACAGGTGCAGAGGGTCTCATTACCAAATTACCCTTGAGCTTTTGACTTTTTATTATTTGATAATAAAATATTGAATGAACATGTGAAAAACCAAGAATGCCCCTATAATTATTTTTATGTATCCATAATGACCTTGCATGAAAAATAACTTAATTAAGTGAAAATACCATAATGCCCCTTTCTTTTTGAAAGTTTGTTTTTTAAATGAATGTCTAAGGATATTGTATAACGGTAATTGTTCAAAAATTTCAACTCCTTCTTCTCCATTACTACTCCTTCATTACTTCTTCTTCTCCATTACTTCTAGAAACACATCTAGGACACACCCAATACAAACTCCACAAACACATCCTGTACACACCTAATACAACCTCCACAACACATCTTGGACACACCCAACCTCCGTATACACATCCTAGACACACCTAAACACATATTGTCTAAATTTTGCAAAAATCACGAGGATAAAAAAATTGCAGCACCTGGAACTCATATAGTATAATCAAGATCAATAAACACATCACATTAAAAAGTAATACTCCATACAAATATATTAAGTCATAAACAGGCCAGTAATAATGTAGATTACATCAAAAACCCCTCTGCAACAGTGACAACCTTTACAAAAACAACCTGAAAGACCATTTCTATCTACATGCACATGTCTATCTACTGCTGCACATTTCTATCTACTGTTGCACATTTCTACAAGTTGACGCACCACATTCACCAAATTGTTGCACCAAATTCACCCAAAAACCGCTGTACCACATTCACCATAGAAACCCTCCACATTTACCATAGAAACCCTCCACATTTCAAGTTCCATGTGAGTTAATTTTGTGGACCAGCAACTCCACTACCTATAACAATCATAAACCATGTATTAGAGCCCTAAAATTGTAAAACAAACCATTTAACAAGAATTTGAAGCACAAATGTAATACCAACCTGCTACCTTTGACTGTTGCCAAACACTTGAACGTTCACCCGCTTGACTTGCTTAGGGCGATAAAGTTTGTCTTCTCTAAAAAAGGCAAACACACATACATAATAGCATATGAGAGTCCAAATCAGAAAATTGAATGTAATAATCAGAATTAAAAAAAAAAAAAAAAAGCTTTAAATTACCTTTTGCTTCTTACCGTTGAGAGGATTTTACAGGCAACTCCTCCTATTATGTCCCAGAGTTTTAAAAAACCCACACCTCAATGTTGTAGCTCTGGTCAACCTTGGTTCTTCATCAACATCTATCTTTCTAGCCTTTTTAGATCTTCCAATCTTGCTATGCTTGATAGGTGGGTACAACTTACGACTCCTAATATCAGGCTAACTAAGTGGGTCAAGTATAGGGTGAATGTGATCAGCATAAGTCTTCATGTAGGAGTTGATGGCCAATGAAGAGTCTATATACTTTTTTCATATTTGTGACTCTTTTAAAAAGTAGACAACTCACTCCATGCACACAAGGGACTCTAGAGAGCTGTCACATTCCACAATCACAAGTTTGAGATTGTATATTTAAGATGTGACGTCTATTGGGAAGAATATTGTTATCCTTGACTTCAAACTCCTCACTTCTTGGCAAGATAACATCAACACTCATAACATCCTCAAATAAACTGTTGATTTTCTTATGTATCATAGAAGGTACAATAGTGACCAAATCAACCCCACATTTTGCCCTAACTTGCATCCTTTTTATAACCCTCTTCCTATAGAATTCTAACAAGCTTAATATAGGTAATTCTTTATTGTCTCCCAACTAGCTATTAAAAACTTCACACATATTATTTGTAACATGATCAGACTTAGATTCAAGGTCAAATGCATGCATTGGCCAGCTAGTAACCTCATTATCAATCATCCACCAATGAGCATTCTCATCTACGACTCAAACATCATTTATGGCCTGCTGAAAATCAATGGGTATTGGCAGCCCTATAACAACCCAAAACAATTTCCTCAACTGTAGCCCAGGGAAATTTTTCCTAAAGTTAACATGTACATGCCTAGTACAATGTCTAACCCTAGCATTTGGCCCACAAGCTTGTACAACATCCACTAAACCTTTCTACCTATCACTCATGAAAATGATAGGGTCAATGCCTATTAAAAATTCATACAATAAAGTCATAAAGTATCTCTATGAATCTTTGTTTTCTATCTCACAAATGCCTATTACTAATGGGAAAATGCCACCGTTAGCATCCATAGAAACTGCTGAAAGTAGTACACCACCATAAGAGCCTTTAAGGTGACACCCATCCACACCTATGAAATGCTTACAACCTTCTATGAACCCTTTCTTTTGTGCTGCAAAGCCTAAGAAACACCTGTGAAACTTAAAAACTTCAGGAATCCCCTCTAGACTAATTGTCTTGACACTATACATAAAACCTGGATTGGTGTGTTTCACAATGTAATCATATTTTAATAGCCACGAGAATGACTCTGCATGGTCCTTGTCTAACCTCCATTTTGCCTGCCTATTAGCCCTATAAAGTTTATGTTTAGACAAATCTAGATAGTGTTTCCTGCTCAACTCCTCATACAAAGGCTTAATTGATGATCCCTTTTGTGATCTGATAAAGTCTCTCATTTTCTCAGCCACCCAAGTACTTGTTGCACCAGGATTATTGTAAACCCTCAAGCAAGTATGTGTTTCTATGTACTTCCTAATTTGATAAGATATTTTATCAGTCATCAGAGTAGCGTATATATGAAAGGGACAACCAGGTTGTTTACATTTTGTCTTAAATCTTATTTTCTCATTGTGTATCTTATCCACAACAAACCCTCTCTAAATTAAGCAATCCTGAAACACCTTCCTAAAATAATAAACTCCTTCAAACACTTGACCAACTTTGAATTGGATTTTCCTACCAGCCCCATATGCAAACTATTGACTCTTCATATTCTTGCTAAATCATCATCCTTACTAGACCATGACCTGACTACATTCTCACTGTCCTCTTGGTATTCAGATAAATTCCCCCCCCCCCCCCCCCCCCCCCCCCCCCCCCCCCCCCCCCCCCCCCCCCCCCCCCCCCCCCCCCCCCCCCCCCCCCCCCTTCCCCCCCTTCATGCCTTTTAACCTAACCACTTTGATTCTCTTCTACCCCACCACTTCTCTGCCCATCTTAAGCACCGTGTTCATTCCTCTCCTCAGCACCAGTTCCCTCCCTGCCCAACCTCATTATCTCTATCATCATCACCTAGATCACTTGAGTATAACTCATCTGCAACACCCCCTTCATCTAGATTAGCAGTTTGCCTCACAGGAGATTCAGACTCACTATCATTCTCACATTGATTAGGTGCTTCTAATAAGCTTATACCTTCAACACATTCTAATGGTTTGACTTCTACATAAACCCTAATTGTTCTCATGCATTTAATCTCATATTCTTGAAAAATGAAGTTCATATAATTATCTCCATTCAATAAGTACATAGCTCTTGATAAGGGTAACTCAACCTCAACCTTGAACTCTTCATCAGGGTACAATTGGACAACCTCATTCTCATCAACCACACAATGCTTCATATATTTAATAAAACATATATAACTATATTCTTCTGAATCAACATTCAATATCTCTTATTCAGAACCAAACACTTGAATTTTAAGGTCAAACGACTTTGGTTTTAGCCTAAATAAACAAACACAAACAACAAAAACATAAACCAAACATGCAGTAACAACATAACACAAACATGCCTAAAAAGATTTCTAAGTATGCGGCATTATTACACCAGAGGTTGTCAAGATCTGCTAGGTAGTTTTTAAGACAATCATTGGTTTCCAACCAAACTACCCTTAAAAACATAAACATGCAGTAGCAAAACTGAACCTAAACATGCAACATAAATTGAACTCAAACATTCAACAATAACATAAACCAAACATTTAGCAAAAACATAAACTTGCAGCAATAAAAACATAACCCAAACAAGCCAAAAAATCTAACATGCATCAGCATCATAACAGAAATACCCAAAAGGATTTCTGGGTATGCGGCATTGTTACACCAGA